ATGTCCAATACATGAGTACATACAAGCCTTCCATCTTTGTGTTTACTATCGAATAGGGATTGCGTGATCCTGAAATTTTCAAGTCTTCGAGCTTGTAGGTCAGGGAGAATAATTGGAGGAGGTGGAAGAAGTGAAGTATGATTTTCACTTCCATGATCCAATCGTGGAACATCATCTTCGGAATGAAAGCTTGTTCTATAATATTTGGGAAGACCATAGTTGTCTTAGGCAGACATCTACAAGGGAGAAATTCAAGTTAGTTGATTTAAGTCCTTAATATAACACCCAACATGAAATATTAAGGCTAGGAACCAACACAATATTTTACAATTCGGAAGAGGGGATGTCGTAATGCAATTGCAAAATATTTGAAGGTAGGTAAATGACGATTTACCAATTTCGATCACGAAAAGCGAAAAAGAATTTTAGGTTTTAAGTGAATTGAAATTCCTAGATCCTTTGAGATTCATTGAACTATTCAATGGCATGTTTAAATCTTGATTGTGTCCTTCAAGTTTGTGAATGGGATGTCTAGGATCATAAACAAGGTGTGAATAACCATGCAAATTAGTTTCGTACACTTAATATTACAATCACCTAATCAATGTGCCGGTTAATCTCACACGCTCCATTGATCTATGACTAACATCAAGCTACCCTTTGTCACACACTGTCAGTCCCATATTAGTGTGTCAGTCAACCACACACACTCCACTAACGACTTAACAAGGTGCAACGTGCAGTTTCATGGGTTAGCACCATATTCACATTTTCCTAAGTAACTAAGATTGGGAATTTATAAGTGTTGAGTTACTTTATATTCATCATTATACTTTTAATTAAGGGAGAACTAGAGTCTCATCCTACCCATTCGGCTAACGACCCTCCACCAGTCAAGGAAGCGGTGGGTGAGAGTGGACACCCATTAAACTACCATTTTATAGGCAGTAACCTTATACCCCCTTATAGACCGGATTCGTGAATGAGGCCTAATAACGGTAAGACTGAATTTACTCTTATACATATATACAAATATTAAACCTATAATATTATAATAGTATAAGGATTGAATTTTAAACTTTTAAAATTCTAGGGTTTGGAACTAAATGTGTCAAAAGAAGACTTTGCATTTACAAATTCCAAAACTTGAGGGAAAGTTTTGAACTTTTCTAAAACTTTTGGAATCCATAACATATGAGTTTAATATAGGATTTAATGAAAAGACTCTTGAAAATCCATAACTTGAGGACAAGTTATGGAGTTCATGAAACTATTTATAAGAAAAGACTATTCAAGTACATAACCTATGACTTTAATGATCCTTTTAAAAGAATTTTTTTTCATTTTCCATAACTTGTAGTCCGTATTTATTTCTACCCCTGAGCTCGAAAACCTGGTGGAGGACTCATACATTAATGGCCATAAAGATCATCAAATAAACTAGCAAGCATGTCAAATAATGTCCATGATCTAGACTAACTCATATAAACAAGATAATTCATATCAAACAAATTTCATGTAATTAGCATAATCATATAAACTAATACAAAGCATGAAACTTTGACAATTATCTTATAAATTGGATAAGCATGATAATTACCACATCAAAAACAGGTTTATAAGTTCAAAAACTGCTTAGGGTAATGATCCTAGTCCAATTCTAGCCACAAACATCGTAAATCTGCATTCTGGAGCACTAACTCGTCGAGTGCAAGAACAAACTTGGTGATTTGGTCAGAATTGTGCTTGGACTCGGCGAATACCCTAGTGGACTCGGCGAGTCCACTGTCCCGAATAACAGAAAATCGATTTTTCAAGCTAAAACAACAAGTAGCATCATGTATAATTGAAAACAACCCTAGGCTTTGATACCACTGAAGGGTTTTGAGCATTCTAATGCAACCCTAGATGCTTTGGATCTATGTTTTCTCTATTATACATGCATACATTCAATATTCCAAAGCATCATCCTAACTAGCATACAATGAAGCATAACCAACATGAAATACAAGTTAGATGAAATACATTTTAGTATAGTTGGAAACCTTGATCCTTTAAGAGCTTAGCACCAATAGTATGAATGCCTCAAATGGAATCACAACACCTTTAGGACAAAGGATAACTTGAGAGAGGAAGTCTTCCACTCAAAATCGGCTATGGCTCTCCAAGAACACATACATGGGGTGATTTCATGAGGTAGGGGTTTCTAATATAGTGTGGAAACATTAGGGTTACACCATGTAAACCCTAATGTGCATGACTTTCCATATTCTTCATGCTCCATGGGTTTCAACATCCATGGGTCACCACATGGGTTTAGCACGACATAAAGAACTATGGATCATAAGCCCACATTACAAGACTGAATGATTTACATAATCAATCCTCATATATTTAATTAGTCTCTTTTGATCACAAAATTAATTCCAAATTAATTATTGATCAATACTAATTAAATAATATGATTTCATATTAATATATTAGAACTTATAATATATTAATAAATCATAAATAACCACTTCTCAAAAGTCCATCCTATCAAATTGTCCTGATGATATGCAACCCAAACGGACCATGCTACTATCGGGTCAAGTACATACCAATTATAGTTATGGACTTAGACACTAATCCAACATTAATATGTCAACATCATGAAAATCAGAGTATGTCCCATACACATAATCCATATGGTGTGTGCAATGCAGTCAACCCGAGCTCTTTCCCGTGGAACCGGAAGCACCTGTAACATAAACTAAAAACTGTATGCATAAAGTTTAGTGGGTTCCCCAAGATACCGCATACCAAAAATATCAAATAACGGACCCCGCCCAAAGAGATACAGGCCCTTCCCACACTCGCATAACACTCGCATAACGAGCCCCACCCAATGAGATATGGGCCCCACCTACACTTGCAATATGGGCCCCACCCAATAAACATACATATACAAGCACGTACAGGTATCACACATACAACAAGTATATTAACATAATCAATTAAGAGTCGGCCTTGGTGCCTTAGACTCGCTAAACCCGATGAGGAAACTCAACAGTTGAATGAAACGAATGATCCCTGGCTGTTGGTCCTACAGCTCCCTGAGCTATCAATTGTCACATAAAAACTAAGTAACATGTGGGATCTACATCATAAAAAAAATCTCTACTAGGGGTAAAAAGACCATTTTACCCCTACCCTAGCTTGGCCCAAGAATGGAGCCCATAACCACAATTCAATGGGCCCAAAAGTTAAACAATCCTTCAAGGCCCAAAATATGGCCCAATTTCCAATTGGGCCCAACTCCTGCACATGGGCCTTAGCTCAAGGCCCAATAACATATTTGGCCCAAAAACTACCAAAATCAGATGGCCTAACTAACCCTAACCTTCCAAGCCCAATCCGAAGTCCATTATCAAAATGCCATAAGTCTAAGTAGGCAGGGCGTACTCAGCTGATACGCTAAGTGTACTGCATCGAGGGCTTGTACGTTGTGCGTACAGGCTTGTATGCCCAAGATACTCAACCAATTCAGCCAACTTCAAGATTAAGCTCCTATCCCGAGACTTTGTTCCAGAATGTAGATTTGACCCTTTTTAAGTTGAAATACCACATAAAGTTGCTAACTTTACATCCATGCATGACCATAAGAAGCTCTAAAGCTCAAAAAGGACCTAATGAAGGACTTAATGGATGCATGAAGCCCCTAAACTCGATAAAGTTGGCACCTTTATGCCAAAGGAGTCCATGAAGACCTTGTATATGAAAGATAAGTCTTTGGGACGACCTAATCCCAACATCCATCCAAACCATGGCTAAAAACATAACTATTTAACCAAAAAGGAGATCTAAACATCTAGCAACCAAGATAAGAACTTGATACCTCAAACTTCTTGAAAAAAGGGTAGAGGTTCTGGATCCAAGACCTCGTCTTCAGGATAAGCAACTTCTAGCTTCTTCAACTCCTTCAAAATGAACAAAAATGAACACCAAAAGCTCTCCAAAAGCTCACACACTCAACAATGGAAATATGACTCGATTTTAGGGTTTTTGGACATAAGAGGCTGCTAAGGAGGCTATCACTTGGGACTTAATGGCATTATATAGGGTTTGCACCCTAAATTATGGTTTTTGGGGTTTGGCGACGTACGTTGTGCGTACGTGCATGCCTCTATGATCTTTTTGATTCATCTACGCCTCGTGTACACCAGGCTTATGCCCAACATACGGCCTCAACGAAGCCCACTCATGAAGGCTCATTCCTCAAAGCCCAACAATAACTTACTCAACGAAGCCCACTCATGAAGGCTCATTCCTCAAAGCCCAACAATAACTTACATGATTAAATTAATTAAATAAATGATTAAAAATGAATAATACAATGGAACCATCGGGCATTACAAGAAGCTTATGTTGAATTAACATGATCATCTTCAAAATTTTAATAAAAAAAGAACTGACGTCTTTTATTCGGTTTTAAGCCGAAAAGTTTAGTTGGTTTGTTTTATGAGTATTTTTTTTATTCAAGATGATATTTAGGCATAGTTGTTCAAATTTTTCAAAATTTGAAATATTACACAACTTTTAAAATTAAAAAATTAAAAAAAATTCCTTTCTCAGGATATATAAATTTTCGAATAAAATATTTATATTATAACAAAATAAGTAAATAACAAAAAATATCATATTTATTAATTTTGTTAAGATATAGATAATATTAATAAATACTAATACAATTAAGGATCTTTGCCTATGTACTGATTAGTCGCTTGACCTCAATCGATCGATTAGACGGATTAAGAGACTCCTTCTTGGCGCCGATTTAACAGTTACCCCGTCTGTTGTGACAAAATAACATAAATCATAATTATAATGAAAAAATGAAGATTTAAATGTGTTTAAATAAAATATGTACATTTTTATATAGGACTAATATCAATAAAGTCCCATGTTTTTGGCACTAAATTGGGAAAAGCCTTGCATTTAATTTTTCATTTATTGTGACCATGATATTTTCATGGAATTATCGTTTGAGAGCTTATACCTGGTCACCAGTAGGTGACCTGTACCATCCGGTCACCACTCAGTACCTTTCACGAACCATCACTGCTAAAGGGTTTCATGCATTCGAGAAGGGTTTGATGCTGAGAAGGGTTTCACAGTCCCCAATTTCGCAATTTGGAGCTCCAAAATCGTTGGCTAAGTAAGGTGGGGTAGAAAGGTACGTGTATGGAAACAAGAAATTGATGATTCTGAGGGTGGTTATCTTCTTCAATAGAGCATGGAGTTCCAAGTTTGGACTAACAAGTTATTGTTATTATTTTTTTATGAAACAGATGGCTTCTACTTCTGGAACTAATAAGTGTAAAGGGTGTAAGCTCTCTGAGAAGACATACCTTCCAGACTCTGACTTTGATGATGATGCATTTGACTTTATCTTATTGGGTTTTTCTAAAGAAACTTTCAAAGACCCCTTAAAACTATGTGATGATCATTTTCTTAACTTATTGTGTGGCAAAAACATATTAAGGAGGAGTATTAATGGAATGGTAGATGATGGAGACATTCCTGGTGTCCAAAAAAATGAGCATGCCCACCTAGATGAGTATGATGAAGATGTTGCTGTGGAGTATAGGATGCATGATCCCAATGTTGATTGGAAAGAGATGAGGCCCTGATTAGGAGACTATTATGAATCCCATGCTCAACTCATATTTGCTTTAACTAACTATGCAGTCCATGGAGGGTACTAGCTTTATTTAAAAAAAAAAAGTGATAGAGTGAGGGTTATAGCTAAGTGTGGTAGTGGAAGCAGTATTAATAAAAAAATGTAGTGTCCATTTAGGGTTGCAATTGGATGGAAGTACGATGAAAGGACATTTCATATTAAGTTTTGTAATGAAATTCATCTGTGTGCTAGGAATTATCATTTTGGTTCCCTAGTTACTAGCAATTGGTTAGCCAAATACTACCTGAAAGATGTAATCATGCAGCCCAAGATGGCTTTGCTAGAGATGCAATCAAATGTGCTACAAAGGTTTTCAGTGAGTGTATCTGTTTGGAAATGCCAAAAAGCAAGGGATACTACAATGAGGATGATAAAAAGGAAGCTAGAAGACCACTATGCCAGGATTTGGGAATATGCAGCTCCAATTAGGTTGAGTAATCTAGGTACAACTTGCTTGGTGTGGGTTGAAAGTAATCTGGGGTGTAACTATTTCAAACGGTTTTATGTTAGCTTCAAGGCTTTCAGAGATGGATGGAACAGAGGATGTAGCAAGGTAATAGGATTAGATAGTAGTTTCTTGAAGGGGCAGGTAAAGGGGAAGATTTTAACTGCTATTGGGAAGGATGTAGACAACCATGTCTACCCAATAGAATGGGTAGTTGTGAATGTTGAGAATAAGGACAGCTGGACCTGGTTCATTGAGAATTTGGTTGCTAATTTGGATCTTGGTGCTGGCAATGGACTGGTTGTTATCTTAGACCAACACAAGGTACCACAACATACACTAGTATACCACATATATTTATATGTTACACTCATTAATATTTACATCTGTTGTGTTTGTTTGTTAATTATAGGGACTTCTACAGGCTGTGGCAGACCTACTCCCCCATGTTGAGCACAGGCAATGTGCTAGACACATCTTTGCAAGCTTTAGGAAGAAATACACATGATTAGAGCTAAATAATTTGTTTTGGGAAGCTTCTATGAGTACAGTGGAAGGGGACTTTATTGCTACAATGGATAAGATAAAGAAGATAACAAAAACAGGATACAACTATATTATGGCAAGGAAACCTGAAACTTGGTGCATAGCATTCTTTTCTCATGGGTATACTTGTGAAGCAGTAGAGAATGGGGTGGCAGAATGCTTCAATGGCATGATCAAAGAAATAAGGAAGAAACCTCTTTTCACAATGCTTGAGGAAATAATGATTCTCCTTATGAAAAGGTTTTTTCATCATGGTCAAGCGGTAGCAAAATGGAGGGGTAATTGTGGGCCTAACATACAATTGAAGCTTGATGAATTTGGGAAAGATATGAGGTAATATAAGTTTTTATGGGAATGTATCCAAAAATATTAAGTATTTATATGTGTACTTTGTTTGTTTTGTGTGTAGGTTGTGGACAGTAGTGGTGATGTGTTTGAGGTTAGGTATGCCTACAATGGATACAAGGTTGATTTAGCTACTCACACTTGCACTTGCAAGTTGCAACTTGTGGATGTTGTCGAGCATACCATGTGTGCATAGTCAAGCTGCAATCAACTATGTCCACAAAGATCCAAGTCGATTCCTTTCTTCTGGGTTCCACAAGGACAAATATGTTACAACATACAGTTAGAACATACAACATGTAGTTAGAAGCAACTTGTTGTCAGGTTTTGAGCATTCAAACACTCATATGGTGTGCATGCAACCCTATAAACCTTGGATCTATGTTTTCTCTATTATACATGAAAACTTTTATTTTTCCAAGGCTTCATCCTAACTAGCATATGATGGGGTATATGTAATACAAAAACTAGTAGAATGACATACCTGTTGAGTCCATTTGTGTTGCGTCTTGGGCCATATATTTTGTATCCGGATTGGGCCTGTCCATCCGTATCTATTTAGATTAGTTTCATTGTTAACTAGATTAACTGTTAGGGTTTCAGTATATATATGCATGCATGTATGCGTATACTAAAAGTTGTTAATTACGTTGATTCTTGTAACGCTAAATACCTTTATAGATTGAAGTTCTTTATCGAGCTCTTTTGAGGTGTTATGGCATTAATCATTCGACATATTCAATACTATACTTGTGTTCTTTATTACGTCATTATTAATATCTTGCTTAGAATCATACGATCCTAAACTTTCTTCTAACAATTGGTATCAGAGCAGGAGACTGTGTGATCAATACACATTCCTTCTGTATTCATAATACTTTAGGGTTTCCTCTTTTATCGTATAAATAGAAGCCGTCGTCTTCATATCGATGACAACTCTGTTTTTGATAAAACCCTAATCTCAAGTTTACAAGTTTGATTCTAACAGCTCACCATGTCTCACGATGATTCACATACAAACCCCATTAACATCTCAAACAACATCAGATCAACAACCAGAGTACCCATACTCTATACTCAAGACTATGAAGTATGGGCTCATCACTTTGAAGATTACGTGGTTGGATCTGAAGACAATGGCTGTCTCATCTGGGAAGCTATCACTCTTGGACCGTTTGTACATTCGGGGACAAACACGACTGTTAAGACGCAAAAGGATTACAACAAGTTGGTGACAGATGTTGAGAAGATGCCATAGGATGAGAAGGACAAGATATTGTGTAACGTAAAAGCCATGCGAATGATAAGATTCGCCCTGCAATCTGACACCTTTCGGCTGGTAGGTTGATGCACAACTGCAAAAGAGATCTGGGATAGGTTGAAGGAACTTTACTCAACTGATAAAGATCTGGAACACTCCATTCAAACTCTGTTACTATCAGAATTTGGAGTTTTTGAACAGAAACCTGAAGAGAAGCTTGTACAGACCTTTGATCGATTCAATCATCTCTTAAGTAAGATGATCAAGCATGGGATAGAGAGGAAGCTGATCGAGCAGAAAGTAACGTTCATGAACGGGCTGAGACCAGAATGGATGGTTGTGGTTTTGCACTGTGAAGGCATATGAATAGTTCAAATCGTACTCGCTGGCGAAACTAGTAGGGATACTGAAGTCCCATGAAAGTGTTGTAACCAAGGAAGCGAAAGTGGTCTCTGGTGTGGGATTGTTGGCTCTTGTTTCTAAAGGAAAAAGTACTGCTGAAGAAGAAGAAGAGTCAGACATGTCAGAGTGCGACCTTACAAGTGAGGAGTATGCCTTGATGATCACAAATCCAAAGAAATTTGCAAGGAGAAAATTTCCCATCAGCAAGAACCGAAACTGGTAGGGAAGTTATAGTTCTGAGAAGATGAAGGATGAACCGAAAGTCTCCTCTTAAAAGGATGAAGAGAAAAAGGAAAGCAAGCTTGCAGGAGACTCTGGATACAACTGCAACAACTGTCACGGCAAGAACCATTTTGCCAAAGATTGCATGTTGAGAAAGATGGCTGAGAAAAGAGAAGATGAAGATGATGAGGCGTATTATATGCGCAAATTAGAAGAAGTCAAGAAGAAAAAGGCGTCCAACAGCTCGATGAATGCCTTAATCGCACAGGAGAATGCTGGGGAAGATGAGTTCGGTGGTGTAGAAGTCTGGTCAACTGACTCTGAAGACGAAGAGGTTAGAAGGCCCACTCATGGAAAGGCGTATATGGCAAAGAATGAAGGTTCGGGTGGAAAGTGCTTTATCATCACTACTGGTTCAGCAACCGAAAGTGCAGATACATAACCGGATCTGACAGAAAACAAGTGTTTTGCGGCCAAGCCGGTGAGTGAGAAGATCAATGACTATGATCGATTGATCAAAAAGGTACATTCTATTCTTGAATCTCTTAAAATTTCAAAAATGATTATCAAGAAGAATTAAATGAATTAAACTTTAAATTTTCTAACATAAGTAGTAGCCTCATGCAGACCCGCTTAGCGAATTCTAACCTAACTGACCAACTCGGCAGGGTGCCTTCAAAAAGTGAGGAGAGGAGAATCTGGATTGAGATGAAGGAAGTGGTGTTAGTTAGAGCTAGGGATGAAAGTATTTATTTGCAAAGAGAGAATTTAAAGTTATTAAAACAAAGAAATGTTTTCTGTTTAATTGCTAAGCGTCTTTATACTAATATTGCTCTATTACATTTACGTTGTGAAATTGGAAAGAAAATTCATAAAATGATTTTGCCCTTTCTTGAATTTAAGGAAGATGAAGTTATAGCAGAATATGAATCAGAAGTGTCCTTTGAAGAAACATCAATGTCGTATAGGCTAGGTTTGGATAAGATAGAAACCTTCATCGATTCTATGAACATAAATATATGCTAAAAGATATCTTAGATGAAAATGATAGGCTAAAGATTAAAACTGAAACTATACAAACATTCGATCTGTTAAATACCAAAATTGTTAAAGATAATAAAATAAACTTAGATAATTCGTCTGAATTTGATGTGGAAAGCGAGATGAGTGAAATCTCAGTAGAGGATGATGTTGATTGCTCTAAGTTTATGAAAAATGAAACCGAGAATGAAAAACCTCTTATATCAGAAAACTCGGTTGAGTTTGCTCGTCTGTCAAAAGAACAGAAACCAAAACTCAAGGAAAAGGCCTTGGTCTATCAAAAAGTTCAGACCGTGCCAAATCAGGTTTATGCTGTGACTGGGGTCACTCAAAGTAAACGGCAGAATTAAGAACCACATGTGACGAAGATATCGCTGAAGGATGCGAAGACTATTTCTGGTCTGCTCCAATTGACAACGCAGATGAGACTGTGGGACTATTTGAGAAACCCACATGGGGAGTCAAAGGTAGATACATACCAGAACCTATTCCAAGCACAAGTGGAACCAAAGATGTTACTGAGGAACCCATGGTTGAACCTGATGTTCCAATCAAGAGCGAAGAACCGAAAGTTCTACTCAAGAGAGAGGAAGCACCGAAAGTTCAAACTAAGAAGAGTACAATATCTAAAATGGAAGGTAAGACAACTATAACTTAGAAGGAGAAACCAAAGGCCAGTTTCAATGTT